CCTTTGTATCTTGTGTCATCGCCTGTCAGAGGTCAGAGAGCTTGCATATTCTATTAGGCAGAGTTGCCTTCATTTGTACAAATTAGTTTACCCAACAGTAATTAAAATGCCAGTGCGGGTCGGGGAGAGCTGAATACAATTGATGGGCACGTTGGTGAAGGATTTGACAGCTCCGGTGGCCTCCCTTGCCAAAGCGTGTCAGTGCTGAATCAAAGGCTACACAAACCCACAGACCCGTGTGTTTAACCCGCGGCACCGTCAACACCAACTGCTTTCTCTCTTCTCTGCTCTCTGTTTTAGACTTGCTTTCTCTTCTCCTTCTTTTCTCATCTCACTTGAGACTTTTTAAAAAAGATATTTCCCATCTTTGAGCTGTCCTTTCTGTTGATCGTTTTCATAATGCTGCTACCAGCCCCCCCATCCTGTCTCCCTCAGCGCTCCCCCTCCTCTCCCCCCGCCTTCCACATTCCCAGCTGCAGGGCTCTGTCAAGTAATAACTTCTTTGTTTCCTGGTCCGATGAGTCTCCGTATATAATAGTCTCCAAAATGGAACAACGATGTCCAATTCCAGGGAGCGGGGGAGCGCGCGAGGAGGAAGGAACAGGCTTTTGCACGTGTCAAGCAGATTCTGGATTTGAAATCCCCGAAGAGCAGAATAAGACTTGAGAAGCAATCTGTTTACAGTACAGGGGAAGAGCGTGAGCCTGGGGCACGGGGGAAGTTTAGAGAGAAGAGGTTGGAAAGGGCCTGTTTCACTCAGGTTCCTTCAATGACTTTGCATTGCAGGATTCCCAGCTCAGGCAGTGCCTACTCTGAAGGCTGGGTTGATAATGAGAAGGGTATGTATTGTACAATGGGATTTGTATCTCTGGAGCTGAGACTGTTTCCAAGCCTCATGACAAACAGCATCTTTCCAAAAGGACTGATGGGCAGCTACCTTTTTCCCTCTGGTTCATCCACATCTGGCAAAGTTCTGTCCAGGATGGGGTAGAGAGGGATGCTACAGGTGGGGTGAAACTGTGTAGTTGGCACCTTGGGAGCAGGCATGGGATCATTGCAGCTGGACTGTAGCCAGAGCACTACTGTTGTTGCCAGAAATGCCATGGGATCTTCAACAGCCACAAGTCAGTCAGATAGAAGTTCTTTTGTTTCTTCCAACAGCACTGCCAGGATGTGTGCTCTCTCTCATCCCCTGGCCCAGCTTCTATTGTGGGGGGATGATCTCTAATGAAATGTCTCTTCTGTAGCATAGAGAAGGTCTGGCTTCGGGAGAAGCAGTTTTCTGGTTTTTTTCTTCTCCCCCCTACCCCTCCTTCTCAGTAGGGAGTTTCAAATGGGAAAGAGAACATGAAAGTATCAGATGAGTTGGAAGATGCCTTGCTTTGGGCAACAAAAACATGCTGTGTATGTTTGTCTCAGTGCTCTGCAAAATCCTCGCCTTCCTGGTACAGCAGAGGTGGAAATGCTATGTTGGCTTGATTGTTTTGACCTCCTGGGGGATCCCTGTGAAGACAACATGCCCTGTTACAGAAGCCCTGCAACTGTGCTCATTTTCCCATTAGAGGAGCCTTTTGGAGGGAGCTTGTAGTCACGGTACCCAGCAACTTTCATGGGGCAGAGGAAAGCTTAGTAGGGAAAGGACTTTGCATCTCCAAGGCTATCTGAAGTTTGGACATAGCAGTTTTTATGTAGCCTGTAGATGCGTCTGGTCAGTGTCTGTGTACATCAGTAGTATCATATATACATCAGAGAGATGGGTCATCCCTGCAGTAATACATATAGGGTATCTTGTGCTCTCCTCTTCCCAGTCTAGTCCCTCCTCAGTCTCTCTGACTCCTGAAAGCATTGTAGGCAAAATAAATGACACTGAGTAACTCAGCTTGAGTTGTTTCTCTTGGGCAGCTGGCAAGAACAGTTATGAAGAGGTTGCACTTCTCTAGGTCAGAGGTTTTTGGTGTGTGCTCTGTGCTTCCTAAGACAAAAAGCCTTGCTGAAGGTAAACTGAAAGAAGCAAGCCTGGTAGAAGGCTTCAGTTCTGCTGAACGATGTTTTGGAAGTTTGGGAGCCAAGCTTTACATGCTTAGCTCTAATTTGCATGTTGTTTTAGACCTATCAAGCTGACTTGTGTTGCCCTTTTGCTTGGAGTGAAACTGTCACCTCTGCGAGGTTCCCAGTTATGAGAGGCTTGGGGGTTGAAGGTGTATGCCTGCAGACCAGACTCAAGGTGAGGGGCCCTGTATCATCCCCCGTGAATCCAGACTTCCAGGTCAGTTTGCTCCCAGGCTTTGACAATTTCTCATTGCCACTACTTCTTGTGCATGTCTTGTGAATGCTGCTTTCTAATCCTGGCAGTGAAGGTGCCCCGCTCTTCTGGGAGAAGTCTTGTCTTTGCTTGCTAATGGGCTCCAGCCTGTTAAAGATAAGGCCTGCAAACCTGATCCTGCTCGAGTATGAGACAAAATTACTGTTAACTGAATGGAGTCAGCTTTACCCAGAAGAGACTTGTTTGTGGCCCTGAGGCCTGTATGCGATGCTGGAGAGAAATCTCTTCATCTAATGCTATTTTTCTTTTTTCTTTCTTTTTTTTTTTTTTTTTGGAGGGGTGGGGGTAAGGACTGAGGAGGGAAAGCTGAAGTCCAGAACTGACAGCATGAGCAGGGATTAGACCTTGCTGTTCCTCCCACCTTTTTCTCCCTGTTGGTGTGCCTCCATGCTAATTTAGACCTGTGGCAACCATCAAAGCCTTGTGCATACCTTCTGCACAAAGGGGCCTGTCTCCCACGTGAGGGCGTTCTCTGCTGGGACAGAGTCAGTTTGTCCCCCAAAAGAAAAATCTTAAGCACCCAATTGCCTGCTTGACTGACTCCCTGACTGCTATTATGTTTCTAACCACGGTAATTGGCTTTAGTAGTTATTAATGGATTATGTTTGGGGAGGGAGGGACAGAACCCAACACCTAGCTTTGTAGCTGAAGGACTCCCTGACCAAAGTGCTGCTTTCTAGACATGGGGTTTGATCAGTGAGCTCTCAGAGTGGGTGTCTTGCTTGTTTTCCTCTGAGATGGGAGACATTGGCAAAATGGAAATGTTCCCTCTTGTCCTGCACTATGGTGGAGAGACGGCAGGTATTGAGCAGAAACCCTGTTTCCAAATATGAAATTCTGCATGCTTTCTTAATTGATCCTCGTGCCTGCCACACAGCAACAGGAACTGGCTTTTCCTTAGACTCTCGGACTTTGGTCAGGGACTTCCATAGAGAAGAATAATGTGTGCCCCCTGCAGCATCAGTGCAGAGAGCCCTGTGCTACAGGTGCATTGGGCCAATTGCATGTGCACTGCCAATGAACCTGGGATTTTGCATGTAAGACAGCCTGGTTGGAGAGACTTTGAAATAGGTCTGGTGCTGCAGGCCTTGTCTATCCCTAAAGGGCAGCTAAGGGTCACAGGGCTTGTGGACACCTCCAGCTACGTGAGTTTGGGTAGGAGGGATAAAGCCAGCAAAAAAGAGAGCCTCGGCAGCTGTAGCTCTTCCTTGCTTCCTGTAGCTCTTTGAGATGGCTTGATGTTATCCGCTTGCCTCTTTTGCAGAGTGTATTGGCAGTGCTGCTTTGGCCTTATGATTTGGAGAAACAAATTGCTCAGCTAAACCACAGAGCTAGGAGTAGAAGGAATCCTGAGGTCTGTCCCTGCTTCCACATGGCTCTTCTCTGGCTTTGATTGAGTTGAGTGCGTGTTCACCACTTTGCTGCTGGGTGCCTTGTAACACCAGCGGTAGTTTTTCTCACAGAAGTCAAGGACACTGCAAGAATCCCTTCCTGGTACAGTAGAGGCTTGGAGACACCTTCTGACTTCCAAAGGAAGAATGTTGTAGAGGATCAAAGAAATGTTTAAAAACTGCTATTTTTACAGTCATGACATTGTTTCCTTATTTTGCTTTCCTCTTTCAGCTGCCAGCCCCATGTCATGCTGCAAAAGATGTTCAGGCAAAGCATAGAGCTGGCTTTTATTTAAAGCAGGCTCTGTTTCCTGCATTCATGCTATCCTTGTTGCAATGACTTAAACATAGTTTTGGCATTTTATTCTCGGTAGCTGCAATAAATGTGGCTTTGTGAGAGGTCATTTATAGCTTGCTTAGAAATCTTTGTATGAGCTGCTTTCTCTTATTTGGACTGAGGATAGGAAGTTGGCACAAAACAAGCAGTGTGGTGTGAAGAGCTACAGCACCCATGTTCCTGCTGCTTGATTTTAAGGATTTGTTCCTGTCTTAACTAGTTTGAGGCCAGTGGCTGTCAGGCGACCTCTGGAGCCAGCATGTGCAGCAGGGACATAGCATCACCAAAGAGGACTTTGGAATGGACCCTGCTGGAGAGTGTGAACTGAGCCAAATATTGCTGCAGGAGAGCTGTGCTGCCTCTAATAGAGAGTGCTTGAGCACCGGGGAGGGCAACCTGATCCAGCTTTGAAATTGGCCCTGCTTTGGGCAGGCTGGACCAGAGACCTCTGTTCTGTGATTCATTAGGCCTGTGATGCTGCAGCCAATTCATGATTGTGCTCAGAAGTTGCTAGCAAACAGAAGCGAGACATGAAGTAGGAAGTAACAGGGGAATTTTCCATGGGGTCTTTCCACAGCTTGCAGCTCTGACTGTATATGAAACCTGCTAAGTACTGTGCTAGCTGTTTTGAAAATGTCGTTGCAATTTACAGCTGCTCCTGTTTTAGGTTTTCCCTTTGCATATGCAAATACATCTTTATGTCCTGCCAATTCTCTGCAGTTGTGACCTGCTGCGTCTGGGAAGCTCAGCTACTGAGAGCTCTGGAGCACCTCTCCCTTTGCCACTGCCTGTCCCTTGTGAAATGCGGTGGAACATGCTGAAATAGACTTTGAATTCTGGTTCAAGACTGTCTTGTAGCCTGTTTTCTGTTCTTGCTTATGCACTATTTCTTCAGAACATGAGGATTAGTAAGTGTTTTTTTTTTTGTTTGCTTGTTTTTTTTAAACAGCTCGTTTGTGACGGGGACAGCCTGCTGTGGACACACCTCACCTCTGAGAATCTGGGACCTTGAGAGGTGAGTGAGCTTCCAGGTTACAGGGAGAGACTTGACAAGAAAAGTGAATAACAATGAGAGATGCAATATCGGAGATGCCGTAAAATCATTCCTTTAGTCCATATAGGCAAGGGATATTTAAACATGAGATGTGGGACGGAGTGGGTGACGGAACAAACTGGTGTGGAAAGGTGTATGTGGGGGCTGGTTCTGGTTCAGTAAGGAGCAGCTCTTGCTTGTTTTTTAAACAGCTCGTTTGTGACGGGGACAGCCTGCTGTGGACACACCTCACCTCTGAGAATCTGGGACCTTGAGAGGTGAGTGAGCTTCCAGGTTACAGGGAGAGACTTGACAAGAAAAGTGAATAACAATGAGAGATGCAATATCGGAGATGCCGTAAAATCATTCCTTTAGTCCATATAGGCAAGGGATATTTAAACATGAGATGTGGGACGGAGTGGGTGACGGAACAAACTGGTGTGGAAAGGTGTATGTGGGGGCTGGTTCTGGTTCAGTAAGGAGCAGCTCAACTTTTCTTCCCAGCTTTTCTAGTTGATGGCACAGCCATCCTGGTTTCTTCCCATTACCCATGTACAGTCAGAATACGCCCATTACACCTTCCTTTTCATCTGTCTAAGTTGATGCTTCAGCCTGAGTCAGAGGGGTGAGGAAGGTGATCTGCATCCTCCCATTCACCCACTTGTCTGTGGTGCTCAGAAGCCAGAGGCAGATGCAGGCTCTACAGTAATCTTGTCCTGGCTGGTGTTTCTGGTAGCTCAGGGAGGTGAGGGGTGGTGACAGGTTATCTACGGAAGTGACTTAGGCATGTTGTCTTCTTTCTGTCTTAATAAGCATTGAGGAGGTTAATTGCTGTGGCCTCTGATTTGGGGCCATTGAGTAGTTCTGTTTGGTGAAGGTGCTGACCTTAGCAACTGGGGAAATGTTGGGCTCAAATCCTGACGTGAGACTCAACTGCTGACAAATTTGAAACTCTCAGCCTGGGGGTTTTTGTGTAGTGATGGACAGATAGCAAATATTTGGCAGGATTATTGAAGTGCAGCTCAGCTTTCCAGGACTGGTAAGCTCTGGGTAGGAGTGGCACAGCACAGATTATGAAGGGAGTGCCGTCAGGATTGAGGTGAGCTGGTGGACTCCAGGAGGGGAGAGAGGGGGGCAATGGCAGAAGGGGCCTGAGGGGTGTCAGCGGAGCTGTATTTGGGGAAAGGAGGTAGAGGAGGATTGGTGTGGATGCAGGGCTGGTCTGAGGCCAATTGCCTTCTAATCTATAGTTTAGATTGACTGGGTCAACTGCATCCACTACAAATATAAACCAGTTTGTTTTTCTCTGAAGTAACAAAAATAAAGACTTTGCAAAGGATGCATCCCACAAAGGACAAACTAGAGCAGGAAAGATAGCGCCAGTGCGTTCAGCTACGGTGCATGTTTCTCGGTGACCTAGTCCAATGGTGCCTTTGGAGTACCCCAGAAGGATGCAGGCTGTGCTGTGATAACCCTGCCCATCAAGTCTTCCAGCTGTTCTTGAATAGAGGCATCTGACAGGGGTGAGGAGATAGGCAACCCTCTCCCCCCTGCCCCAGCCTCTCTGACAGCCTTTCCCAAGGAAGCCTGAAGAGATAATAAAGCTGTGTAGAAAATAGGATTAAGGTAATGAACAGGCACAACGGAGTTTGATCTTTCAATAACGTCAAAGCCTGAGTGACAGGCAAATAAAAAAGCCCCCCAGCCTTCTGACAGCCTTTCCCAAGGAAGCCTGAAGAGATAATAAAGCTGTGTAGAAAATAGGATTAAGGTAATGAACAGGCACAACGGAGTTTGATCTTTCAATAACGTCAAAGCCTGAGTGACAGGCAAATAAAAAAGCCAAGGCAACCTAGGCCACTGGGCCTCTGTTGCAAAGGCTGGAGTGTCAGACTTATTCTTCCCTTTTCACCTGTCACAGCTGGAATGCACCATGCCACTGGGTCTTTTCCTCTCCAGGGACCTGTGTGTGAGCCGGGAGTCTCATCAGCACGTGCAGGGCAGGAGACTGAGTAGGGAGCACAGCCGGGAAACTAGCACATGAAGCTTGATGTGATCATTCATAGCAAGGGAGTACAGAGCTGTCCTTCCAGGTCTTGACTTCTCCATAAACTGTTCTTCTTCCCGGCAGAGCTTTCAATTCATTTTCAAAGGCTCCAGCCATTGCCAGAAGTGATCTTGTAGAGAAATGCTATTTCTTCCTTTGAGGCTTGTGCATGTTGTCTCCCTGGTCAGACTCCGGAAGTGGGAGCGTGGCATGGAAACTCAAAATCTTAGAGCTACCCAGGACTGAAAAGCTCCTCCTGTGCCCAATGTCTCCTGATAATATCTGGCAGACAGAGCCAGGCCCCCTGAGTTTGCTGCTTAACCGTTCCTTGTGGTCACAAAGGGCCAGAGTCTGACCCACAGGAGGCTGAACGTGGCAAGGACATTATCTCTAAGAGCAGAGTCCAGGCAACTTCTCCCTCAAAAAAAATGAGGCAAGGTAGAACGATGCTTAAGACGTGTTCTTTAAAACTACAGGATCCTTAGCACCACATAGATGTTTAGTGCTGTCCAAGATCAGTTCAGTTAGCTGTTTTTTTTTCTGCATGGGGGTGTGTGTAAGTAACATTGCAGCAGTTTCTGTGGCATTCTCTTCCTTTGGGGTAGGTGGTCTTTTCCCCAACAGCTGAGTGCTGGAATATGCTACAAAAGGATTTAAAGCTTAAATAACCTTTTGTGTACTGATCTTCTTAGTTCCAGGCCAGATAAGTCTTTGGCTGGTGGTTGTAGCTGTTGGTCATGGTATGTTTTCGTATTTATGACCTTCGCGGTTCCCTGACCCTGGGGCAGCCATTCTCATCCCTCCAAGAGGAAGGGGATAATGTCTTCACCTGGAAATATGTTCTGGGCTTTGAAAAGGGCTTGGTTGGGTTTGGCGGCGGGGAAATTTTTAGTGGGGAAAGGAAACGCCTCTTGCTTCATCCCACCCCCACAACTGTCTTTCATTTCTGACTCTGCTGAGATGATGGTGTTGGATCAAAGCCGCAACAGGCAGCAACAAGCAATTGTCAAGGGGAGTCTAAAGCAGGGGAATGACCGCGTAATGCCAAGACACTGTCTCTGATGGCTGAAATTCCAGCTGCTGCTACACCTGGCTCTTTCTCCTGTAATGAAGGAGGATTTTTTTTTTCTTATGCTTTTGAAGCTGGCTAGCTGCACCTCTGGAGGACATACCTCATCCCACAGATGCTACATTGTGCCATCTGATTGCTTTTAGATGTGGGGAAGTTGCTGTGCACTTATTGCCACTCAGGATCAAGGTGTGTGTGTGGAGGGGGGCTGTGAATAACTTAGGTGATTAGAGGTCTGCACAGGAAAGGAGAACAATTAGCAGTATGGGCCACTGGGTACTAACCTGTGTCCTTGCATCAGGCCTTGCTGACTCCTTGGCCTCTTGCAAGTCCCCTCGCCTCTCTGTGCCAGTGAGGGATACGATGGCAGCTGCCCCTCTTCCAGGTCAGGTACCTCTGCTCCCTTTTGCCTTTCTCTGCTCAGACCTTCCTGTCTCATCTGCCAGTGCTAGTGTGTGGCTCAGCAGAACAGCCAGTTAATGGCAAGCAAGAGAAAAGGAAACTTTCTTCAGATCCTGTTCCTCTTTCTTTCTCCTCCCACCTCCTATCTCCTTTGGTAGTTTAAACTCCTTGGGGGACGAGGGTGATGCACCACTGGGAACAGCTCCAAGGCCAGCATTTGTCATTTGCCTATGGAGAACTGTTGCTCCCCAGCCTGTTGTGGTGGTCTGCATGTCTTTAGGTGGCAAATGCCCCTGACTCAAGGATGCTTCTCCATAAGGTAGGATACTCCAGAGCTCGCTTTGCAGCAACTCTTGGAGCTGTTCTGCCAAGCCCAATGTTTGAAATGGACCAGTGATCTGTCTGGCATGGTAGTCCTCATGCTGTAAACACTTTGAATGCACAAGTCCTACATTGTCCTTTCCTGTGACACAACATGACAGATGCAGGGCACGAGAGCTGTTGTGAAAACTGAACCAAAGTTAGCTGTGCCCTGCAAGCCACCCCAGATCCTCTACCTTTTAAATATCCAGTCTTTGTCCATCTCCTCCCCCCTTTTTGAAAGCATTTTTGGCAGAGTGTTTTTTTTGTTTTTTGTTTTTTTTAAGAACCCTCTAATTTCTTGTTCGGTTTTTCTCCTTCTCCTGAGCCCTTTGAAAGTGGCTTTACGCCGTCACTGACACCAAACTGACACTTTGCGTTTCCCCACTTCTTATCCCTTTATGGCAACAGATGTTGAAATTTTGTATCCCTTTTATCTGTCCCTCTTTGCCCTCTTCCTGTAATTAGGTTTCCCTTGTTAGCAGTACAAAGTGGCCCGGTTTGCTGCCTGGCCTTTTGAGCCATTGTGTCTGAGCACATTTTTTTCCTCCTCTTTCGGAAGAGTTCCTTCCCCCTTAAGTAATAGGCAGGGTGTGGGCCAAAGCTGTGGCTTTTTCTTGTTTCTTTGTTCTCCATTTATCTCTGCCACCTTTTTCAAAGGGATGGGGGAAAAAAAAAATAGAGTGCATGGAAGGGGAAGATACAGAGTTGCATTTTTTGACCGTCAGGCCCCCCTGCTCTTCAGGTGTTCAAGGCAGGTGCCTTTGATGTCTGCAAGTTTTGGGGAGGTGGGAGGTAGAGGATTCATGAGAGTGGCTTAGGCGTGGAGGAGATGGAAGATTCAGGTGTGTGGCTGGTGCCCTTAGCAGAGGGGTGGGGAGGAGTCTTTCAGGGTAGCCAGGCAGCTGCTGAGCAGGTTAGTAATCCGTATTTGCCTCTAGTGCTATTGCATTGTGCTCTTTTTCTCTGAGAGCCGGTAACACTCATGCGAGTGTTACCATCATAAGCAGCTGGCCGAAGTTTGCTAACTTGCTGCTGCTTGATCTCTGGTATGTGCTTCCATGGAACCCTTGCTAGGTCACATCTGTCTTTGTGGTGGGGTGG